AAGAGTGGTAGAATATTGATCTACAGGATGTTGTTAATTTTTGGATGGTGTTTGAAAGCCCAGATTGACTTGATAGCTTTGTTAAGCTATCAAGTTTTGCATGTTTTGCATGCAAAACCGACATCGCAGTTTTGTTATTTAGTTTAGTGCAACTTTCTAAAAACTACCATCTTAAAGATCTCTTACAATCCGTGTCCTCAGCAGTCATTGAGACAGTGTTTTTCATGAAAACAGTTTGTCATTTTGGTGCTTTCGATTATGAGGTAATGTGAAGAAGTCAAGGTATAAATACTAACCATTACATTCTGTTGTTAAATCAGCATTCGAGCAGTTTGAAAATTAGTGTGCAACCTCATATTGGACTCCCAGTGTCAGAAATGTCACGCTCTGGAATAATGACAGTTGCGAGCAGGCAGCTCAGCAATATGATTTTGACTACAAAATACGACACTAATACAATTTAAACATGGTGCAAAATGCTAGAGGGGGAGCAAACTGATTTATGTCTGCTATCAAAAACAAATTTTAGTATTTGGTCAGGACAATATATTTCTTTGTTTGGGAAAGTTAGGACTGTTGGGTTTATTTTATAAGACCTTTTGAATGAAGATACTAATTTTTCTTCCAAGTTTAAGCTGCTACAATTCACTGCCTGTTGATGCTGCAGCTCTCCTTCCAGATGCCAGCGTGCATGTCTACGTGTCTGCTTAGAGTTAGGGATGAGGCTGGGGAGAGCAGGTACCTCCCATTTCCTCAGGCCAGAGGCTCCTGGCAGCCACCCAGAGACCTACTGGAATCAGCAGAACTTTGCCTAGGCAGAGCTGTCCCATCATGTGGGCCGATTTCTGCCAAGCCCCGAGTCTGTAGTGGTTTTCTTCAAATTCCGTAAGTGGAGATTGAGATTTAAGATGACACTTGAGTCTCAGTTGTCAATTGTTTGAAAGTATATTTCTGCAGTTTGGGAAATCAGAGGCAGAGCAAGGAGCACCATTAGGTGTACTTGTAGTACAAGTACAAGAACTGTGGGTTAGTTGTACAGTGCGATATATGTTGGGGCAACTTGGTAGAGAGGCCCGGTTTTCAAAACAGAAGCACTGTAGCGAGGTACCAAAATAAGAGCTAAACACTTCCGAACATTCAGCTGTCTTGTCATCTGCAAGGAAGTATGGTTTGGTAGCTACAGCATGAAGAAGAGTGTCCACCTCGGCCATAGACTTGGGAGTGTTGTTTTAGAACTATGTTCAATAAGGCAATTTTTTTTGTCAGTGGAGAGGTCGTTGCCTCTTCCTTAGCTGCTTTCTTATTCCCACCCTTGCGAAGCAAATACCCCTGCCGCCCCTTTCACTGCCTTCCCCCATCGGATTGTGCTAATCTGGGTCTTGGGGGTGCTTGCTGGTTTGCGTTTTTTGGTGTTGTTTTTAACCTGTTTCTGGTTTAGAATGTGACACCAACAACAGTTACATCAGCAGAAATGAGGGGATGATAAAGACGGAGCATTAGGAGGGGTGTCTATCTTGAGTGCCTGTGTGGACGAGAGAAATTCTGACATCAGACCACACCTTTAATCTCTCAGTTGTCCGTTTCATGAAGTCAGGATAATACTTGCCTAATTTATTATAAACACAGAGTAAACTAAGCTTACGTGAGTACTGCACAGTTGATTGTGGAGATGACGAGAGAGCAGAGGTCTGATGGATTGCCCGATGGTCTCACCACTGTACTACATCAGTTCCCTCCTAGAATGTTAAAACAGACACATGCATTGAACCAGATGGAATTAAATTAGTGTAAACCCTTCTTGGGAAACAGTGGCGTCTTCAAAGCAATGCGTGCTCATCTCTGTTATTGCTAGAATGATAAATAAGCAGTACAAACATGCCTTTGCCATAGCTCTTAAATCTATGTAATGACATTTTGTTTTCTAAGCCTTCATGAAGTGTGAAATTTGCATTTTTGCAGTACACCACGATTTGCTTACCTGAAGAATGCTTTTTAACTGATTGAAGTAGTTAATGAGCATGAGAAGAGAGGGAAGTCAAGGAGAAAATGAGCTAAATATTGTCTGTATTAAATAGACAAGGCAAACCAAAACCAGTGAGGCCCATCACAAACAAACCTACAAAACATAGCGGTTTTGGTTTTTTTAAGGCAAAGCACTTCAAAGATAGTTAAGCGCAAAGTTAAAGACAGCAAAGTCCTTTCCAGATCACAAGATTCTTCATGGTTCATCACATGACTCTTCCTAAGGGACTGGGCCCCTTATTCTACATTTGAAAAGAAACTTTCAGAAAAGGAAATGGATGGAGATGAAACACAGTTAACATGGGAACTCCAAGATCTAGTTTTAGTGCTGGATGTGTCATGTGTATCCATGCATTTACATACATAGGTTTGTGTGCATTCATTACATACCTATTTCCCCCCCCCAACAGATAGTGAAAAATGCCTAAAAAGAAGACTGGTGCTCGGAAGAAAGCTGAGAACCGTCGTGAACGTGAAAAGCAGATAAGGGCTTCAAGAGCCAACATAGATTTAGCCAAACATCCTTGTAATGCTTCAATGGTAAAATAACCAAAAGTATTTTTATATTACAATACTTGACTTTAAATTGTGTAAAACCAGTGATTATTACATTGACTATTTAATGCCACTAGAATGCCATTCTTCTTACCGTCCTTCCTTTATATTTAAGGTTACATTTGCATCAGAGGTGTAATACTTGAATAAAAAGTTTGGTTCCTAATCAGAACCTAATTCAGAGTCCCTGTGGGGTCTGTACATTTTATATATTTTACCTAGAATAAAAATAATTACCAGTATTTTATTTCTTTTCTTTAGGAATGTGATAAGTGCCAAAGGTAAGTATTTTTCCCCTTCTAAAACCAGTAGTTTAATATTAATTGGTTTCAAACATTTTACAGGTCTTTTTTTAATGCTTGCTTGCTTTTTTTTTCCCCCTCCATGTGCCTAGACGACAGAAGAATAGAGCTTTTTGCTACTTCTGTAACTCTGTTCAAAAACTACCCATTTGTGCACAATGTGGTAAGTAGAAATAATGAAGGAAAACATGCTATACTCAGTCCCATTTGTGTTGTTAAACTCTCAGCCCTTAGAGTACCTTTGTCTTAAAGTACCTTTGTGATTTTTGGAGCAGGTTCTTTTAAAGCTGCTGTGAATATCCTCCTTGAGAAGAGATCTTGCTTGATCATGCACTAATGCGTATGCCTTTGACTCCCAGAGGTTTGCAAGTCTGGGTCATGGGCTTGTCTTCAGTATTTGATCTTCCGAAGAACTTGTCTCACTGCCTTTTAGGATTGAGAACATCTGACTGACCATTTCCCTAGATTGACCATGTCGGGTGTTGTTTCATAACAGCAGCAAAGTTAAAAAGACTCTGACTGCCAGCAAGGTGCCAGTAGATACTGCTTTTTGGGGATGATATAATTTCTGATCAGTTTAATATCAATTAAAGCAACGGTACTTTATTCACCTTGCATGGTTTTGTAATGTAATATGCTGCTCATGTTATTTATATGTGCTAGAGGGCTGATGCTTTGAAATCAGAAGAGAAGGACTCCTAGTGACAGAACTCAACTCTGAATCAGGCTAAAATGCCTTTTTTTTTTTTTAAACAGCTGCTTGCTTGCAGGGAATGTTGATAATAATTTCATACTTTGAGGTGAATCTTGTTGTTTTACTGTTTCAACACATTCTTGCAGATTTTCAATTTGTCATTAAGCAATTGGTCTGTGTTGTAGTTTGACTCTCAGAGCTGCTGACATCTGCAGCTTCCAATGCCTTTGTTGGGACCTGCAGATACCGAGCATTTCTGGAAGCCAGGCCGTTAGTGTGCAATGGCAGTGTGTCATCCTTCATAAGTCTTCCTTCTGTCATCGTGCAGCGAAGTACTAAAAACATGCTGTTTATCTTACAGTATATTATGCATCTGAAGTGACTCGGGTGTGTTGAATTTATCTTAATCTGCAGTATGTTTCTGGAGGAAAAGCATTCCTAATAACAACCACAAAATTATATTGAGTCCCACGGTTTTCTAAAACAAAGGCCATTAGAGCTGTTTGGTGCTTAATAAAGTGCTGGGGACAGCCCCTATAAACCAACAGCATCCTTCTTGGAGAAGTCCCTGAGAGATGGGTGCAAAGTAGCTGTATTGCAGTGCTCCAGACCCAGTAATACCCCCACCATCTCACATTGCCCAGCTCAGCCCACCGCTGGTCCTTCCTCACCCCCCAAGTGCCATTTCGTACCTGAGGTGTGATTTAATACACAACGCTGCTGATGCTGCATACTGGGATTTACTTACATTTTCAGAGTAGAATTTGGGTTTGTCAGCTCTTGAATGGGTTTGCAGGGAGGCCCCTTTTGTTGGTTTCTCTAAGCAGGAAATAACAGAGACACCAAAGGGGTCTGTGGCAGGGCAGCTTACATCAGCGATAAAACTCCATTGCAGTAGCCTGGGCTAGCTACAAGATTTTTTTGCTTGTATAACTGTAAACGGAGTATGGATCTTTCTGGTAGAGCTATTTATGTCAGAGGCAAGGAGTAGGGGAAAGTTGTCACCCTAACTGCTTGCTTGTGTCAGAATGACTTAAGTGCAGACTGTGGCTTTTTCTCCCACCCATCCCTGCATTTAAAAGGAATTATTTTGTCTAGGAAGTAATCTCTTATATGGTTTTAAAAAAGAAAAAAAACCAACAACAACCACCAAAAAAGCAAGTATCCAAGTACCTGTAAGTAGTTAAATCATCAGGTGCACGTTTTTTTTTCAGAGGACCTCAGTCTTGCACACAGCACAGGCTGATTTTATGGTGGGACAGAGCTAGCAGCAGTTTTAAATGCAACTTTTTAAGATGTCATTGCTTGACTTTCACCTTAATTTTGTTCTTTGGTTTGTTTTGACATTTGAAATTCTTGCCAGTGCCTCAAAACATAGAGCAAGACAACACATTGCCTTATTATCTCAGTACTGGGGCAAGAGATTTTGGCTTAAAACAGGCAATTATTAATTTGATCTAAGGGAGACGTGAGGGTGGGTTGCAGACATTTGTTTGCATTATTTTTACCTAGATTTACAATTAAGCACAGGTGTTTGTTTGAAGTACTGCTCTCATATGAACATTCATTCTATTTTTTTTTATTTTTATATAGTTTTCTTCTGGTTGCTTGCTTTTATTTTTATACAGGAAAAACCAAATGCATGATGAAGTCTTCAGACTGTGTTATAAAACATGCTGGTGTGTACAGTACTGGACTAGCAATGGTGGTATGTATACAAAATTACAGCCCTTTTTGCACTATGAGGTTATTCTATGCAAATCCTTCTGCAAAAAGATAAAACAGATTTATGGAATAATGGCATGTACCATGCCAAGTTTTTTTTTCTCATCTTACTATCACAAACTGATTTTTCCCTTATACTGGAAACCGAAAGTTTGCATTTTTAGATTCAACTCCTGCAAATTCTGACACGCCCTGGATGCTAACAGATCTGTGTTGGTGGCAGGCCCTTAGCACGTGCATTAACAGCACCTGAGTTTACATGCCCCATAGCCAATTCCCAGTCTCTGTTAAACTCTAGGAATCTGTAGAAACCAGTGGACTTTTGTTGCTGTCTTCTCAGTATTGCAGAGACCATCAGTATCACAGAGAGGCATCTGTTCCATGGCATTAGGGGGGAATTTTATTTAAAGAAAAAAAAAATCATTTGGGCTCTTAGCAGAGATAGTCATAGCTTCTGGCCTTTGAATTTTTGTTCTTAGATGGACAACGTAGTTACTTCATTCTGGAAAGCAGGGTGTGACACGTCATAGCCTCTGGATTAAATGCTGTATGGACTAAACCTCTGTCCTGTTTCTGCCTCCAGTTGGCAGTCAGCTTTTCTCAGTAACACAGCCAGCCTTTCCTGTCTGAAGTTCCTAAACTCATTCCGTGCATTCACTGATGCAATATTTTCATCAACAATTAATTTGGATTCACCACTGTTTTCTTAGTTTTGTGTGCATGTAGTGGATGTGGTAGTTTGTTACATATGGGCTGAGGAGGCTTCTTAAATGCTACAATTAAGGGATAATTGATATGTAGATCTTGTAGTTTAATCAAAATGGAAGTTAAAGTGTCTAACTTATTTCTAATAAGTTATTTGATCTTTGCTCTCTGCAGAGCTTGTGTTCTAATACAGCACGGTTTAAAATCCGAATGAGTGATTTCAGCTATAAGAATCTAGTGGCATTTTTCAGGTCTTTTTTGAAATTGCATTTTTGCCAGAACATTGTTATCATTTATGGATCTCAGGTTTCAGCTGGAGGACACAATTTTCCTGCATAAGATTTAAGATAGGAAATGTAAAAAACAGAAAAGGAGAAAACCAAGTTATTTTGCATTATATTTAATCCTGCAGAAATGACTATCAAACAAAAAAAGATGAATTGTGGAGCAGCTTGATAGGAATATAGATGCGGTTCATACTCTCTCACTCAGCTGGGATGAACCTACTGAGAGAATGGATGCTTGGATACATTCCGGGTTATGGAATAAGAGTCTCTCTCTAGGTATTGCAGAAGTCCCAAGATAATATCTTTCTGTAATTGCAGGGTGCAATCTGTGATTTCTGTGAAGCTTGGGTGTGTCACGGGAGGAAATGTCTCAGCACACATGCATGTATCTGCCCTCTTGCAGATGCAGAATGTATTGAGTGCGAAAGAAGCGTCTGGGACCACGGTAGGTTGCTCACACTTAAAAATGAGAAAATCTAAACGATACTTTTCTCCTCACATTGCTTAAGTTATTGTACCTATATTCCTAACGTAGCATTTTTAATCTTCACTGATTAGTCCTTGCAGTATGTTTGTTCAAAGCAAGGCATTCTCCCCAATTTAAAAATAGACCTTACGCAGCGGGGAATGTGAACAACCTGCTCAATAACACACAGTGCTTAACCCAGGGATGGTTATGTAATCTAAAGTATTATCTGTCCTATCAGCTGAGCGCTTCACATAATTAAGTGCTGCGTCAGATTGTCAACGCACAATTTTCTGCCATTCCCGCTCCATTCATCTGCGCTAGTACAGGTATTTTGATTCCCAATTGCTTAGCAAACCATACTGATCTCCGTTTGTGGAATCCTTTAAAATGTTTACTTCAAGTATGCATCAGAGTTGAGGGTGTGGGAGGGAAGGAGATTGAATGAGAGAGAATGTGATCCGATTTAAGAAAAATACTTCATGCCATAGTCGACTTAAAATGAAGAAAAGGACTAGAAGAAATACTTGCTTTATATTTATGCTGTCTTGTATTGTAGGATATATGGTATTTCTCAGTGTAATAATGGACGGCAGTGCCTAATTTAGGACTTTGTTGAAGCATTTGTGACAGAAGGGAGAACTGGTCTTCAGTCAAAACTACTGCCTAAATTGTTTGCAGAGCAGAACTTGATGCATATGCCCACTGCTGATTATTTTGCCTTGATAAATCTTTTAGGAGGCAGAATATTTGCCTGTTCTTTTTGCCACAATTTTCTCTGTGAAGATGATCAGTTTGAACATCAAGCCAGCTGCCAAGTTCTGGAAGCAGAGACATTTAAATGTAAGTTAGTTATTCATAGTCCCTTTCACCACAGCTAAGCAGACTCTCTATCACCTTTTCCAAATAGCTTTTACCACCACTGGAGGAAAGGGCCTGTTTCCTATGTGCTTGCTCTTGATATCCAGCTATCTAGACTAGAGCTTTTGTCTCTGAACTTCCTCCATGCCAGATTGTACATGGCAGTTGTTTTCCTGCCTGGCTTTTATAGGCCTCCCGTGGGAAGTTGCCTTTGCAGGAGCCAGCAGTCTCTAAAGTTGCAGTGGCCAGGACTGCAGCAAAACTGCTGATGCTGCTTTTTTACTCCACAAGGCTCTGCAGGCAAGAAGGAGCTCTCTTCCACTCTTCTGACCATATGATGAGCTATTTCTAGATACCTGTTCCTCATGGAAAACAGCTGCTCTAAATAATACCACCTGTGTTAGTCTGGCTAAACTTTCCCAGATTGCTGTGGATGGCCTGTGTGTTGGTGGAGGGTTTGCACTGTTGATTTTACAAAAGCAGCAAGTCCTGAGGGAGGCCATGACTCAGGAAGCAGTCACCATCTGATTCAGTGAGACAGGGTGAGCACAGAAGGAAGTAGCAAAAATAGTGTTCATCCAGAGCATGAACTCAGTTTCTTCACTGATCAGTGGACTGCGGACATGTGTCAGTAATGTATCAAATGTTGATACATGTCCACTTTTACTGAGTAAAGAACAGGTAGCTGAAGACTTTATGTCCTTTTGAACTTCGATTAATTGTGTGGACAAAACGGAAACTGGTATTTGTAAGAGGACATGATGGCCATGCTTGACTTTGCTAGTCCACTACTCGTCTCTGGCTGAAACAGGGTAACTTCAAGGGAAGTTAAAAAAAAAAAAAAAAAACCAAAACACAAACAAACCAAGACTATGCATGTTGGAAATAACTAATCTTTAGTAGAAGTATTTCTTTTCTACCCACCATTGACTACTATTTGGTTTGCCCCATGAGACAAGCGTTTATCCTTTCCAAAACTTGTATGAGTGTATTTTGACTATTATAACATTTTCAATCCTTATTATAGAAATTCAAGGTGCTCTTTATCATGTATAAGACTGTTTTCTTCAGAACTGACTAATCTCTTGTCCTAATTGATTTCTGCCAATTCAGAATATTTGTTGATTTCAATGTTATAGTCTGTGTCTTTAGAAATCTCGTCTCTCCTTTTCATCTCCGATCCTTTTTTTCCCAGCCAGCTATTTTCTAAGCCTTGATTAGCTTCCCTTGATGTATTCTGCCAGAATATCTTCCTGCATAGGAATATTGCAGCAGCAACAGCTGTTCCCCAGGAGTGTTTTTTCAGTGATTGTTGGAAGCTTTTAATTCACAGATGTGATGTCACACCCTGAACAGAGAAATTGCTTTTTTGAGGGTTTTCACTGTGTTCAACATTTTGTGGCACGGTGCAGTCTTGGTAGAGAGGCAGGATTTTTGTCAGTGCGTGGTAGCAAGATTATAAAACCTGAACTTTTACAGAATACGTGAGCTTTAAATGCGGTCATGCAACTGTAGTCTAAATCCCATTCTGGCTGTGAAAAAGGTACTGTTACTTTCCATCACTGTCTGAGAGAAGTTTTTTAAAGTGTGGGTACTCCAGAATTGTTTGAATATATACGCATTAGCATTTCCAATTCCACCTTTAAACACATGACAGAGCGCTAAATCCCGTGGCTGTCCTGCTCATGGGGAGAACTCATGATATTTATTACTTGAGATTCAAAAACTTTGTTGTCACAGGGGTAAGGCAAGGTGGAAGAGAACGAGTACTTGCGCGGAGACTGATAAAATATGTATTGCTGCTTCTTGAGGAGTAACTATTCACCCAGCTTCGTGTTGCTGCCAATTCCTGTGTGGTTGCCTTTACTATACTCCCTCTAGTGGAGAAAAGAAATCAATTTGAAGCTTCAAAACAAGTCAGATTTTGAGCACCGATTCTGCTCTTTACAGCTCATGTGCCAGCTACAATTCTTTAACACAGTTAGGTAGATTTTTCACATGAAGTTGTGTGCAATAAAGTACATTTCCAGAGGATGTGACAGAAAGTACAGAACAAAACAACTGTTCTAGGTTTGGAAGTTTGCAAGCTTTAAGTGTTCTCACATCCCATTTAAATGAGATAAAGGTATTAAAGGCTGCCATGGCATTGTTTAAAGTGACTGAAAAATGCTCGCACTCCTTCTTTTGAGATTGTGAGAAAAGGAAAAGCAACATGATCACTTAATACCAAATTAGTTCTGAAACTTCTGTTTTTAAAAGTTTGGAAACTCAAGAAATAGTTAAACTTTTTCCCCTCTTCAACTTCTGCTTTTTATGTCAAATTACATTATTGCAATGAGGCTTGATTTTGACTTGAAAAAAATCTAGTAAAATGGTACTGTATGGTAAAATGACTGATTTGTGTTGCCAAAGTGCAGTTGTGTCAGGGAGTTAAAAAGAAATGCCTCAATTACATTATTACATACTTTTACAAGGTTTTAAAAACATCACAGATCTGCAGTTTCCAAGTACTGAATTGTACGTATTGATTTTTCTCCAACAGGTGTTTCCTGTAACAGGCTTGGGCAGCATTCATGCCTGCGTTGTAAGGTAAAGAGTAAAGGCAGTGCAAGTAGCTATGATTTTAGACTTGTTCTCCTTAGCCTCCAAGGCTGGTATCAAGCCTTGTCACGTCTTCCTCTACATTATTAAAAAAATATTCATACTTTTGTATTAGTTTCTGAAGCCTGGGGGCAGATTTATGGGGGACAAAAGGGCTTTTATCTGTGCTTGCCTGTTAACCACAAGCCAGTGTTGTGCATCCTTATGCCAGGTGAGGTGAACTTCACTTTGTCCAGCTCTCTGTGTTTAAATTGCAGCTGTACCATGTTTGGGCCTTTAAAAAAAAAACAAACCACAAAACAAATCCTTGGTCTTGAACAGAATCCAAGGCTTTGGAATATGTTTAGATCCAGTGTAGAACTAAGACAATTAAAAAAGTGTTTGTGTTTTTTTTTTTTTAAAAAGTCAAGTGATGATCTGACCAGAAAACATTGCAGCCTGGATCCAGTAGAAATAATCTCCACAGCTAATCTGGTTTTACACATGCACAGGCTAATTTGTTGACATCAGGCTTTGGTTTTATACACTCGGAAGTAATTTTGTATAAAAAGTCCCACCTGCTTCATCATCAGCATTGCCCAGATTTCTCCAGGTGCTGGATTCATTGCCTGTTCTTACTCATCTTACCCTCTGTATGTTTCCCTGCAGTCTCCCATGGCATCGATTTCATATTCCAAATTGTTCCTTTCTCTAGATATCTTCACTGGCACCCTGGTGCTCAACGTGAAATTTCAATCTCTAATTCTTGCCTTCAGGTCACTGCATAGTTATGTTCTGGCATACAACTCTGATTGTATTTTATTTAAGCTTGTCAACGTGAACTAAAGTTTGCCAGGCTCCTTGTGGGCAGCACTATAATCCAGTCCTTGAGTATGTTACTGTCCCTACTTGTTTATCAGCACTTTTATCCAGCCTCTTCCCCAGCAGGCCATGAAACTACATTCAACACAGAAGTGGTTGCTCTGTGCACAGACTCCAGTTCCACTGCAGATAGAGCTCATTAAATTTTAATCCCAGCCAGAAAATTCTGCTGCTGTTAGACACTTTTTCGCTTGCTTGTTGTTGAAGAGTATGCTTCTATGATTGAAACGTTTAGCCTTTTTATTCTCCTTTCACCCCACAGGCTTGTTTTTGTGATGATCATGTGCGAAGTAAGGTTTTCAAACAGGAAAAAGGAAAAGAGCCTCCCTGCCCTAAATGTGGCCATGAAACTCAGCAGACAAAGGATCTGAGCATGTCAAGTAAGCCTGCTTCTCTAACTAACAAGCAATACAAGTACCATTGGTGACTACTTTTCTACATAGGAACACTGAGTAAAATCCGATTACTTTTGATTGTTTTGTGAAAAACTTTGTGTTTCTTAGTTCTAGAATTGAGCAGTCTCTCATTCTTAATCATTAATTGATTCCAATACAGTGAAAGCTTTGTTTAGTTTGAGATTTTAGTTATGGAAAAAATGGCAAAAAATCACTGCTCAAGCCTTTATTTAATCTACAAGAAGCTGGCAAATGAATTTCAAAGTGCCATTTGATGACATGCATACAATCTACCTCAACCACTCTTGAATAAATCACAATATGTACTGTGTCTGCAAAGCCCATCCAATTACAGGTTTTCTTGGCTAGAGTACCAAAGGTTTATCCTAAGACCCAAGTCATACTCTGGGGGCAGTTATTGTTCATACAAACTTGACTGCAGGGGGACAGACTGTGTGTGGCAGAAAGGTTCTGTCAGAGTAAGGATTAAATCTGAAAATGTCAGATTTAGAAAAAGGCTGTCTAACATTGTATGCTCTTTGCTGAGTAGTGAAAAAGGACGGAAAAGAAATGTCAGATGCTTGGCTCAAATTGCTGTTGAAGGGTGGGAACATGATGACTTTTCTCTGCCTGCAGCTCGCTCTTTGAAGTTTGGCCGACAGACTGGAGGTGAGGATGCAGATGGAGCTTCTGGTTACGATGCCTACTGGAAGAGCCTCTCCTCCAGCAAGGCTGGAGATGCAGGTGACCGTGAGGATGAATATGATGAGTATGAAGCAGAAGATGACGATGAAGATGACAATGATGAGGGAGGGAAGGATTCCGATACTGAGACCACAGATGTATTCAGCAATTTGAGTTTAGGAAGGACCTATGCTAGTGGGTATGCACATTATGAGGAACCAGAAGATTAAGCTTAGTATGCTGGCAAGCTAAAAACACGTGGAAGGAGCCAAGCAGTGCTTCACTTGAGTTGTGTACATGCCAGTAGGATAGCTCTATCAGGTACTTACATATCAAAGTTAAGAGAGTAAAGAGTGTAGGACTTCTGCAGTACTTCCAAGTGAGATATTTTTTTTTTTTAATAAACCAATATTGGGTTTGGGCTGGGGAGAAAACGGGAATATTTTTATTCCCCTAAGCAACAGAAGTGGTTTTGTCCTTGAGTTACTGAGTATAATGGTTCAATGCCATTTTCTCCTATCAATACAGGAATGTGGGAGAGCTGTACAACTTGTTTCCATTTGCTCATCAGAAATTAAGTTATTTTTTACAATAATTTTGTTAACTGATTTCATAAATTAGTGTAGTAGTGGGTTGGTGACTGCATTTTTTTTGGTCTGCACAATAAAAGTCAACTGCATTCTCTAATGAATCGTAATAAATATTGATCTCCCTTGGTTGGTTGGAAAGCAGGTTGTATACCAAGTGTAAACTGACACTAAAATAACTTCCTTGTTTATGTAGGTAAGGCAGATCAGCGTAGTTCTCTATGTACTTGAACATTACTTTTCCAGCATTTTTAGTGTTAGATATTAATTAATGGGGCTATATGCAGTCATTACAAGTGCACCCCAGATAATCAAAAATTTTATTGCAATAAAAATGTTCGTGTATCCTCTCTGCCACTGAAAATCTATAAGTCAATTTCTCATTAGATCAAAGAGAGACTGGTTTCTTCTGTGCCTAGCCTTCAACTCTTTTCCTTGTACATGATACAAAAAATAAAAAATTTGATAGGAAACAGCCCCTGTATATGAATTGATAAGATGAGAAAACAGAGGGGGGTTCAAAATACTGGGTTCAAATACTGTTCTGTGCAAATGTGCTGATACAAGGCAAGTGATCAGCACATCTGAGCTGAGGAGGTGACACTTGCAGAAGTGTTTGCAGTGGTTCTGATTCGAAAGTCAACATGTTAATTACCAATCTACACATCTAAGTGATAGCATGTAGTTTCCTCCTGTAGGGGAATGCTGAGGATAGCAACTTTAACAGCAGACAGATCAAGGGCAGCCACCTAAAGCGTTACTCCAGGTTTCTAAATGCCACACTTAAGTGCAAGAGAGCTATTTCTTGTTATCTGTCAAATAACTGAACTGATTATAGAATTACCTACTTTTGTGGTGCTTCCTCTGCTGTTTCTTAACAGCTAAAGGTCATGTGTTGGCAGAGCATGCCCTATTGAGAATAGTTTTTAATGATGTTAGGATTGCCAAATGAGCATTTCCTAACAAAACAGGATTGAGGAACCTGGCCTTGAAACTTCCCTCCTAAACGCCTGTCATGCCAAATGCATAAAAGACCCGAGCTGGAATGCATCCAAGACAAAAACAAACTGGCAAAGAGCACAACTTGGTTATGGCAGCTGAGGGGAGAAACTGTACTGGAGAGGGGGACATGACCTCATCAGTGCATGTCAAGTGCTCGCCTTCAGAACTGGAGAGGAAACCAGCACTGTCTGAAAGCCAAATCCCCTTCAAAAATTGAAACTCTAGGACCATCCAGTTTCGTGTGCTAGCGAAGACCTACCCATCTTAAATTATGTACCTGATAGATGTCTTGATTAGTCTTTTGCATAACCAAACTCAAAGTAAGGGAGGTAGGATGCCTGCCAGTTCAACAGTGATTACTTATTTGTGAAATTGGCACCTGTGATAGAATTTCTGCTCAACTTCACACAGTTCAAAAACTTCCATAGTTGAGTCCATCTGTGGCTGGTCAATTCCAGCAACAATGCCAGTTTTTTATCTTGGCTGACATTTCAAATACAAAACAATTATACATCAGTACAAAGTCTTACATAGGATTGAGGAAAGTGCGTGCGTTTCTGCATATACATAAAATTATAGCTGCTTGCATGTCATTTATTAATTTTATTACTTAACCGCACAAAATTCCCCTTTAAGGTTCTTGGCTCTTGAATTAGGTTTTTCCCATGTGAAATCTGTGGCTGCCACTGGCTGTGCCAAAGGCTGCTGACGTAACAGAATTAATCATCATAATCAGAGAGTAAAGAGTTACTCATTTTCTCATTGAAATGTCCTTGCACTGATCCTTGCAAGATCAATCCTCCAGAGCGAAAGCATGTTCCTATGATACTGTCATAAGAGAAGGCCACTGCACTGCCTACAACAGATGCTCAGGATACCTGCTGTAATTTAGCAAGGTCACCACTCAATGGACAGAGGCATTTATTTGCCTTTTCTTTGTACCGCTGTTCATACCACTGAAAATGCCTGTGCTGTGAACCTGGCTGGAAACAGGGCCCAGGTATTAGACCTGTGGTGGCTGGCTTTCCAGGGGTCAAAACAAGCAAGTTGAAGCTGCTTTAAAGTAATCTGGTGGGTTCAAGCTAGAATAGACAAACATGACCGCGTTTTCTACTAATTGAGTTGGTCAATTTGTGACAGGACAGGCAGAATATGATGCTAAGGGTTGCACTTTCTCATCCTCTGCTTATTTAGTGAAGTTAAGAGTGTGTGGTCTGTTGGGGATAGGTCCTCAGAGCTTGTTTTCATAGAAAGTGCATAATTTTGGTTGTCTTAAGGTAAATTGCAGAAACAGGATGAAACAGAGAACAAACATGTACCGTAGCTTTATTGAAAAACAGGTCTGGGACAAACTTCCAATCTTGTTGGTTCCATTTTTCTTCATTGCTATTAGTCTACTTTGAAATGCCTTAGAGGAATGTTAGTAGGGCACTGACAGGGCAGTATGCCACCTCTATACCTAAAATGTAAATTAGTGCTCCATTTACTTATTCTTCTGAATTCAGCAGCTGATTTAGCTGTTGCTAAATCTAGAGGTGAGGATGCTGTGGTACTGATGACATAGGCTTTACAACTCACAGGATCTCAAGCTAGTTCAGACACTGCCACAATCCACCAAGTACTTTCAAGTGACTGCTGAGCTGCTTGTGTCAAAGAGAGATAATTTTTCAAGTCACTAGAGTCCAGGACTTGGTGCCCGGGCACACAAAAAACCCCATGCATAACTCCATGTTTTTAAGACTGCAGTGCTGCAGAGCGCACTTCCTGGTGGGTCAAGTCAGATAAATAAAATCCTGAGATTGTACATGACATTGACTTCTCCCGTGAAAATCCTGTCCCTGATTAAAGGAGATTCTGAGCTGAGAGAAGGAGAGTTTTAACATGTAATCAGGAATACCTGAGAGTGACATATAGTACTCCAGAAAACCAAGATCTTGATAAAGTCTTACACTTTAGAATCATAGAATCATAGAATCATTAAGGTTGGAAGAGACCTCCAAGATCATCGAGTCCAACCATCAACCCAACACCACCATGCCCACTAAACCATGTCCCTAAGCGCCTCATCTACCTGTCTTTGTTCTCCAGACCCCTCACCAGCCTCGTTGCCCTTCTCTGGACACGTTCCAACATCTCAACATCCTTCTTGTAGTGAGGGGCCCAAAACTGAACACAGTATTCGAGGTGCGGCCGCACCAGTGCCGAGTACAGGGGCACGATCACTTCCCTGCTCCTGCTGGCCACACTATTTCTGATACAGTTCTTTAGTTTTTTTCCACCTCTGTGATGACCATTTAAACAAAGCTTAAGTAGAATTTGAATCAAAATCACAGTAATATTTATTGTGCCTGTAGACCCTAAAAAACAAGAGCTCTGGCCACCTCTGTAAGCTCTTTTCTGGCATTAGTTTGTTACGGTGACAGCACCAGCTCGTGATGAATTCATTGGGTGCTGGTTTAACCCCAGCCAGCAACTAAGCACCATGTGGACTTAATGCATTTTCATTTATACGCAGGTGTGATTTAGCACCTGTGACTGGGAGTCTGTTGGTCAATCCTGTTGCAGGGTTGCTGGTTTTGTTTCCAGCGAATTAATGTGAAGATCATTGTCATGTACTGAACAGCTTCAATTGCCGGTTGGTCAAGTAGGAGCATGTTGCAGAGAACTAGAGGACAAGCTTCAAAAGTGCTTGGAGTCCTATTTGTTCAGGCAGAAAGCATATTAGCATGTCTTACGAGACATTACATGCATCTATCCAGGTCCTGATCCTATTTCCAGAGGAACCAATGGCAAAGCTCCCATTTACCCAAGTGGGAGCAATTTAATAATCTTTAGTATCTACAGTTCATCTTAAAATGTCAAGAGGTGTTACGGAACAAAACATGAGGATAAGCTGAAGTGAGGAAGGTGGAGCAAAGCTTAACGTGAGGTCAATGTGCTACCATTAGCATAAAAATATTTGTTCTAAATTTCAACAATTCTACTGGAAAGTGCTTTCAAGACTGGAAGAGGAAGCTGTTTAAAGCAGGAAGAGATAAGATTCTACAAAACACATTTAACAAGACGTAGAAATTTAATTACTCATCTCCTGAAAGTCTGCACATAGAGCATAAATATTTGCTAAAAGCTCAAGGCAATTAGGACACAGACAAATTTTATCATCTCTGCTCTGTAGGTACATAAATAGAAAACACAGTAAATGACAAAATCACAGCCTGAGCCATCCAGTTGGCAACAGCCCTCTGCAGCTTGGACTCTCCATCTCCCACCCATGAAACTCTAAACATATTTTATAACTAATGACTTAATATTAAGATTATGTGTACTGTAATTAGCTACCACACATCTGAAATTTGAAGCAGGGCCTAGTTTTTAGCCAGGATAGACAAAAAAAATCATCAAGAGAATGTCGCAGACGTGAGGATCATTCCATGGAAAAGCCACTGGTTTCCCCTTGCTAAACAAATGATGGGCTCGCAAGCCTGTACTTTGTCTTCTGCAGCTATTTACTCAATCGAATACCCATGCAATGTGGGGGTGGGGGAAATGACATTTCAGTCTCTCATCAAATTAAGCTACTACTAATAAGCATGCAGTTTTGCTGTTTACAACCGTCACATTTTTAAGCACTGCACAACGTTTTTTTGGAAAGAGAGCCTTTTGTAGCTATCTCTACTCCTACTATTTTCTAACACTAAAGTATACTAAAATGTTTGCTGCATTCTTTTTAACCCCACTTAAGACAGTGATTCTTCCACGGTGTTTCCCAAACTTAACCGTAATTGGAAATTCACTTTTGTTTCCTTCTGAAATGAGAAGTACTGAGTGCCTACAGGGCCTGAGTAATATTTTGATTTCATCATGATGTTACACGACATCTGTTGTAGATTTTCACATTACAAAACCACTACTTTTTTTTTTTATTTTTTATTAGAGAGTTAGAATGCCAAAGACCCACGATTTCTTTAACAGGTAATACAAATATTTTACTGCTGTAGTTGCCCGTTGCTGTTCCTACTGTTTTATTTTTGGCATAGAGAAAGAGGTTGATTCTTTTGAAAGTGAATCACTGCTAGTCGGGCACATAAACCCTCCAGT